TTTCCGATCTCTTGCTAAGATAACTAAATCATCTGAATTGAGTTTGTTTGCTATCAAAAATTGTTTTTCTTACTTCCCTTGTATTGGGGAGTTTCCATAAAATTTGTCATCTATAGACTAATTAGGGAAAACTTGTTTTGCTTTAAAAAAAAACATTTTATATAACGGAGTTTGTGAAACGCTGCGTCTGCCTTAGGCGGGATTCTCACTAGAACGTACCGTCACGTTGAGCCGCCGCGCCTCTGCTGCGCCGTCGGGTTACCGTAGTTTATACGGCGGCATTAATGTTACCGAAAGTAGTGTCAGTATTTAAGGGCCAAAAAGCACTAAAAATTGTGATAAGACAAAAAGATAAAGAAAAAAGCGGGGAATTGAGTCAAAAACACGCGCAATAGAAAGCAAATAAGATAAAAATAATTAAGAAATAATTTAAATTTATTACTAAGAGATTAGAGTGCAAACTAAAACTGTTTAATAACTCAAACCAACTTCTTAATTAAAAATCACGCCGGTAGCTGAAAGTAGGAAACTGTAAATTATCGATATTCCCATTATCCTCGAAGGTTCGTTTAAAGGGAAGTAATGGATTTTTCGATCAAATTAAGCCTCAAACGTAATGCTTCATCTCTAAATTTAGTTCTCGTTCTAAAAATTGCGAATGCAATTGAATCGAAGAAAACCTTACTTCAGTATTATACGGGTAGAGCATCAAAGAGATCGGGACCCTTTTAAATTTAGATGGAAGACCGAAAATAATGTTAAATCGGATAGTATTCTACTTTTTTCTCTACTTTTTTCGGTAATCTTCTTTTTCCTAATGATTGAAGACTGTGTAGGCAATTTCGGGACAAGCACCTAAGATAAATTTCTGTTAGGGTAGTCAAAATATGTTTATCGGATCCGTAATAAAATTTGCCTTAAAATTATTTTCGTTTAAAAAAAAATATTTATCAGTCTCGATAACAACAGACTTAAAAATCTTAATACAAAAAAAAATAAATAATTTGTTCTTATGGATAGGTCATTTATTACAAAACGTTAATTTTATCGCTAGTATGGTGAATCTACACAGTAAACTTTTTAACTACGTAACGAACAACTACGTAAATCTAATATATAAAATTCTCGTGTCACAATTTTTGTTACCGTAATCCTCCGAAACGGCTTAACCGATTTTGATGAAATGCTATATGTATATTCAGTAGGTCTGAGAATAGAATAGGTTGTTATCTATTTCTTATACCCCTAAGTGATAAGGGTGGCCCACCCCAATTTTTTTATTTTTTAGCCACAGCAAAGCGTGGCCGGGTGTGCTAGTACTGATATAAAAGAGTATACAGATTGTAGATACGTGCTGAGACTGAAGAGTATCAAAAGTCAGAGAGTTGACTTACAGTTGGTTACAGTAGTAATGGCTTCAGAGTTATGGTTATAGTCAATTATTTGTAGAATGTAGAATGTAGAATGAGTAAGAGGGGGGATTAATCACTGCGACCTTAAATATCTATTGTGCCCCCCTTCCTTGAGTCATCATACAGTCCATAACCCATCATACCTCTGTTATAGAGGGGACAGGGTATTTCCCATCCTCCTCTGGCAACAGTTCTTCCTCCGAGGCTACACACCTTTCCACGGTTGGAGTTTAGCCCTCCGTGCCGCCCTTCACAGTCGAGGAGCTTGCGTCCGGCTGAGGAACCCGTGATGTGGAGGCTGGAGGATCTGTCTCCATTTTCTCAACCTCTTTCACTTGGTCTCTCCTTAGACCTGATACCGGTGTTGTCCCGTATCTATAATAGAGGATATGTCCCTCTTTCTCTATTGCCTCCTTGGATTTGAGGTCAATTCCTATTTTGAGGACCTGACCATGACCCTTCTCCCTCGAGTTTATTACTCGCCAACTCGACGTCCTTACATTGAAATTCTATCCCTGGATATGGCTCAGCAGGTAGGTGGTGTCTTTCCCCTTGCTCCTCGGCAGCAAGACCGTGACGGCCACCCCTTTAGGGTGCTTATTGATATAGCATAGGTTGATATTGCTTAAAAAAATCTTTAAATTAATAAATATATTCGGATGCGGCGTACTCAAAGTAGGCGAAATCCGATACATTTGGAGTACGTACGATACATTTGGAGTAGAACCATAATGCTAAAATGGCAACAAATGCTATTTCAGCATTATGGTTTCTCTAGCAAAACTGACAATTCCTCTCTTAGAAACTGCGAATAGTTCATTCCATTCAGTTGTTTAAAAAAGAAAAGTCCGATATTTTTCCTTCCTAGAATTGCCCCCCAAAACATTTACCGACCAACGACCTTGGTACTGGACGATTTGCATCTAGTAAGGATTTATTTGCATTTTATTTTTTAAGTGCATTATGCTAAAATTTACATCTTTGCTGCTATATGAAAAGTGACCCGTACAATATAAACCTAATATAAAAAAAATTCAAATAACTGGTAAAATACGGAAACAAACGTAATCTAGGACGAACTTTGGGCGATTTTTGTGAAAAGCAACATGGAGGCAGGAAATTCGTAAAAAGTTAAAGACAATTTGTTAATTACCCGAATTTCGGATGTTTTATCTCTTAACTACCTACATAAAATTAACCAAATTCATGACAAATATGTGGATGCATAAATAAAATTGTTTTAAAATTTATATCATCATTTGTTCTCAGAAAGCGTTTGAATTTTGGATGCGTGAAATATTCAAATTTTTTAATATTTTAGCGTAATCTACTCACCTTTTTTAATTACCTTTTAGGTCATTATAGAACTAGGCAGCAGCCTAACATGATTTTTTCTCTTAATATCTCTCGTTAGAAAAAAGATAGAAAGTTGCGGATTGGGCGCCGACTTTATGCAAATTGTACGGTCTATTTAACTGTGCAAAAGGAAATATAGACTGCCATTTAATTTTTTTAATAAAACGTGCAATATCCGTTAAGATGCCAAACAGAGTCCCTTAGATATCACGGCAAAATATACAAAAACAAAGTTTATCCAGCTAAAGAAAGAAAAGTTCATTTAATTGAGCCATAATTTGTTTAATTGGGTTAACTCAAACCAGAGTTATTATGATTTTAATAAAAGAAAATTTAACCTCCCCACCACTTTATTTATGAGATAGAGATATACAAACTACGCTATGCAAAAAAAAAACAATTTCCGTTTATCATAATCTTCTTCTCGTCCGTTAACTTTCGAATGAGCATGGTGACATCATGTCACAATTGCGCGGATTCTCCATCCCTGGCCATTGAGCGGCCAGAGAAGCCTCTTGCAGACCGTGACCAACAATCTCATTAGTTCGATCCACCCAGCACGACGATGCCTATTCTGGTGGTCGTTTGCCATTAATCTTTCCTTCGATAAAGATTTTTCCAGTCCATCTGTTCTTCTCGAAAAGTAACTAAGTATGACTGGTTTATTTTGGTAGAAAGTCTTGTAGTAACTTTAAACAACCTCAGAATTGAGACGTTGACCCGATGTTCTGAATAAGAAATTTGCAGCATTCTTCTGTAGACCCACATTTTGAAAGCATCTATTAACATTGAAAATGTTTCTGTTATCCTATATAAGGGAGCCCAAATCGAATTAAAATGCTACATTTGCCACACTATGACGTCATATATACAAGGGTATAGGAAATCTCGGGGCAGCGGCGGCAGTCGGCCAGCGCGCGCAAAAACCATTACATCGCTAATTGTTTATTGATATATCTTTATTAGTTTAAAAGCAAAAAATATGGGGTTTGCCTTGATACCTTGTCAAAACATAAGCGAAACTTTTAAATTGTTTCTTTTTTTCATTTAGGCCTTCGTTTTTCGTCAAATAAAAGTTATAATAAAAAAAAATCTATTTTTAAACCAAATTTTCGCATGATTGAAATGATTATTCATGTTTAAAGTTTTTTTTGGTCATAAGCGCTAATGAAAATGTTTTTTCGTAAATAATTATAAAAAATTACTCCCTACGAAGACTTTATTGTGTACTGGATCAAAAAATAAGTATTTGTTTTCTCTATACGGTGGTATTAATATATCGATTTTTGATGATAGTGCCCTTTTACCCGGTCTAATTTTGTACTACTTTCGGAATAAGGGTCCCCATATCATGTACTGTACTTCCATCCCTGAAAAATTCAGCTTGTGACACCGAAGTGAGAGGTAACGTCAAAATAAGCTTTAATCTACTTACATCATAGGTAGGTGTAGGTACTCTAGGTATATTCTACCTAGACAGTAGCTGAACTAGCTGACAGTAGTAATTAATTTGTTATCCGATAAGTAGTTGTCATTATATAAGTTTAATCATCTTATACCTCCTATAACGGTAGGTTTGGGATTTTTCCTGATTGGTTTGTTAAACAAAAATATACTGGGCATATAAATGTCTGTTACAGGTTAATTCGTTAAAGAAATATGTTACACACATATTATTTTAATAATAATAGTATAATAGTAATGGCTATATTATGTTATAACACATACATATGTATTGAATGTACTTATTTTAACCAATGCATTGTTTTGTTTTTTTAATCTCACAAATAAGAAATGTTTTATACTTTTTATTATAAAAAACAGTGATTATACAATTTATTTACACTCCTTACACTGTTTTTCTTTCAGTATATTTCGTAACCTCTTACGATATAAGAGGGCGCCCCCCACAAAGTGTTTTATTACTTAATGCTTAAAATTTAATAATATATTTGTCGTAGATTTGACTATCTTTGTTGAACTTGTATGTACGTACACCGTGTTGCTTTTTTAAGAACTTTATTTCCAAATTACAAATAATATTTAACTGTATTTACAAAGGTCTTTGAGATGTCGACGCAGTGCCGTTCGCTGCTGTGGGCAAAGTGTCCGATGTCTCTTCTCCTCGTCACGTACGCCGGCATGGCGCGGTTGCCGGTTTTCTTTTTGTCTTCGTTTTGATAAAATCTTCCATCGTCCTGGACATGCCCCCCGCCTTGAAAGGATTGGCTTTCAACAGGTTTCTTCAGACAACAATGGAAGCGGGCATATTTTACGACAAGCTCGCTTGATGGTACCGTTGGCTGTTTGTATGGTGACTACTCTGGATATGCCGTCCTTTCCGGGATGAAGAGCAGTGATTCTCCCCATTTTCCAACGAAGAGGCGGTTGGTTATCTTCTTTGATCAGTACAATTGACCCAATGGAAGCTTCGGAACAAGTTTCTCTCCACTTCATTCTTTGTTGCAATTCTGACACGTACTCTTTTGACCAACGGCTCCAGAAATTCTGTCTCATTTGTTCAAGGAGTTGGTATCTGTTGAGTCTTCCAACTGGTACAGCCATCAGGTCCGCTTCAGGTGGAGATAGTAGAGTGCGGCCAATTAAAAAATGGGCGGGTGTCAAAGGATTTAGGTCGTTAGGGTCACATGTTAGGGGAGAAATAGGTCGGGAATTTAGTACAGCCTCGATTTGCGCAAACACAGTGCATAGCTCTTCAAATGTAAGAATTGTATTTCCTATCACGCGCTTAAGATGGGATTTGCTAGATTTTACACCGGCCTCCCAAAGACCGCCGAAATGAGGTGAATTAACGGGAATAAAACGCCATTCTATACCGTCGTTAGAGCAATTATCAGAAATAGCAGTTTTGTTGTTATTAAAAAAGTCTTGCAATTGCCTAAGTTCAGCATATGCGCCCACCAAATTAGTACCGTTGTCGGAGTATATCCGAACTGGTTTCCCTCTGCGACTGATAAAGCGTTTTAATGAGCAAATAAAGGAATTAGTAGTTAAGTCGGAAACCAATTCGAGATGAACCGCCTTTGTTGAAAAACACACAAATAAAGCTAAGTAGCATTTAGACGTTTTAGCGCCTCTCCCCTTTCGATCCTTTATCGAAAATGGGCCCGCGTAATCTACTCCGCACACCTGAAATGGGTAGTTCATCTCTAAACGTTTCTGCGGTAAATTTCCCATCAGAGGAGTAATATACGTGGGTTTAAACCTAAAACATGTAACGCATGATCGCACTGTATGCTTTGCTAAATTCCTACCTCCTATTGGCCAAAGATGCTCTCGTATATTACTAAGTAAATGTTGTGGCCCGGCATGCAGCATTTTGACATGCTCATGTTTGAAAATTAACTTGCATAATTGAGTTTTAGCAGATATAATGATAGGATGCTTCTTGTCTTGATGAAAGGCTGAGTTCTCTAAGCGACCACCCACTCTAAGTAAACCATTCGCATCAATAAAGGGATTTAAATTGAAAAGTTTGCTGTTGTGATTAATATTATGGCCCTCGGAGAGTAGATTAATCTCGTCAGAAAATGTCTCTAGTTGCGATAATTTCAATAAGAAGGAATAAGAATTGTGAAGTTCGACTACTGTCAACATTCCGGTCATTCTATCTACCCTTTTACAATTCTGTATAAACCTAAAAACATATGCACATGAGCGTTTTAAGCGAATGAGTGAAGAAAATCGATTTGCATCGATTAGGAGTGTTAGTTTGTATGTCTTTAAGGCTTGAGATTTTAATTCTGGCAAGTCGACTAAATCTATATTTGAAATTGGCCATCGATGTTCGTGTTGTGCAAGCCATTCGGGCCCGTGCCACCATAATGAATGATCAAGTAATTCACTTGGGGAAACTCCCCGAGACAAAATGTCGGCTGGGTTGTGCTTGGTAGAAACATGTCGCCAAGTCCAATTTCCAGTTGTCTCCTGTATTTCCGATATTCGATTAGCTACAAATGTTTTTAAGTGACTTGGTGATGTCTTTAGCCATCCCAAAACTATGGACGAATCTGTCCAAAATATTATGTTGTCCACGGTTCTCTTGAGGGAGGACATAATCTTTTTTGCTAATCGTGCGGAGAGTAGTGCACCGCACAGTTCCAGCCTGGGAATGGTGATAACCTTGAGTGGGGCTACCTTCGTTTTTGCACAAAATAAATGTACTTGGATGTTCCCATCTTGGTCCCTAGAGCGTACGTAAATGCATGAACCGTAGGCGTCCTGACTTGCATCGGAGAAACAATGCATTTCTATGAATTTTGGATTGTTACATATTGCGTGTCGAATAATCCTTATGTCATTCAAACTATTAATTTCGTCTCTGAATTTAAGCCACGTGGAATGTATTGAGCACGACACGGCTTCATCCCAAGCTAATTTTTCCAACCAAAGTTTTTGTAATAAGATTTTAACTGTTATTACACATGGACTTAAAAGACCAAGCGGGTCGAATATTTGACCGATGCAGGACAAGATTACTCGCTTAGTAACTCTACCCGTTTTGGAAATTAGACCTATATCGTATGTAAGTACATCGTTCGCGTTAGACCATGCAAGTCCCAAAGTTTTTGTCGTTTCGTCGGTACCTATTTTAATGACACTAATATTCGACTTCGTATCTGACGTAACGTTTTGAACCACTTCTTGGGAATTTGAATGCCACTTTCTAAGGTCAAATCCCCCTGAACGTAATATTTTTGATATTTGTATACTAATTTCGGATAATTGTTCTACAGAATCCGCCCCGAAAAGCGCATCGTCTACATAGAAGTCATTCTTTATTATATCTGAACAAAGTGGATAATCATTTTCGCATTCAATGGCTAATTGAGCTAGACAACGCACTGCAAGAAAGGCTGCGCTGCTAGTACCGTATGTCACTGTTAAAAGTTCGTATGTATTTAATGGATCAGAAGAGTTTTCCCTCCAAATTATTCTTTGTAATGAGCGTTGATCAGGTTTCACAAGAATCTGGCGATACATCTTTGCTATATCGGCTGCTATTACAAAGGTGTATGTGCGAAATCGCAATAATATTGAAAGCAGGTCGCTCTGTATCGTAGGCCCCACCATTTGTAAATTGTTCATAGAAACTCCTGTAGTCGTAGGTGCACTACAGTCAAATACGACTCTAAGTCTTGTCGTTAAGCTATCTTGTTTAAATACCCCATGATGAGGCATGAAGTAACTAATGAGAGGTTCGTTTACTCCGGAGATTTTTCGCATATGACCCAATGCCTCGTATTCGCGCATAAATTTTACGTATTCATTTTTGAAATCGGGATTACGTGCCATCTTTCTTTCTAATGCTAAAAAACGTTTTTCTGCTTGTGTTTTAGATTCTCCTAACTTCTCTAAAGAATCTTTAAGAGGAATAGAAACAATAAAACGACCGGTAGGATCACGCGTAGTAGTTGCTTTAAAGTGTTGTTCACATAATTCTTCTTCTCTAGACCAATGCTTTTGTACCCCAAATTCTTCTAACTCCCAAAATTTAGTGAGCTGTGTTTGTACATCAATGTTCTTGGCAAGATTGCAATAAATTTTGTTATTTTGATTTTGAAGACCGATAGTACCAGATACAATCCACCCAAATACGGTTTTTTGTAAGACAGGGAGATTGGATCCTAACTTGAACGGCCCAATTTGCAAGAGTTCCCAGAATAAACTAGCCCCGATCAAGATGTCAACAGGACCTGGCTTATCGAATGACGCATCAGCTAATAGTATATTATCTGGTAATTTTAGTGATTTAATGTCTACTGGGGTACTTGGCATCAATCCAGAGATATGTTTTATCACAAAACAAGTAATAATCGCGTTGAATGGACTATGTTGAGAATTAATTTTTAACTCGCATTTTTTATTGACTTCAGAGATCGCGTTATTAATACCTGCTACTGACATGACGGTTTCTGACGTTTTCAACTTTAATCGCTTGCAAAGGTCCATGCTGATAAAGTTTGATTGCGAACCGGAATCTAAAATGGCCCGTACTATATATGTTTTGTTATTTTGATCTTCAACTTGAATCAAAGCGGTCGATAATAGCACACTACCTAAGTTATAACTCGACAAGGTAGTTGAGGTGCCAGTATTATTTTGTGTGTTATTTCGGATAGATATATGAATAAGTGTGTTGTGCCGACCATTACACTTTCTACAGTTGGACAATCTGCATTCTGTGTTTTTGTGACCGAACCGTAGGCAATTTAAACACAATCTAAGCCTTTTTACTTGTTCTACCCTATCTGTCGGAGATAGTTTTAAGAAATCAGCACAATTTCTAATAAAATGATTTTCACGTTTGCAAAAGACACAAATTATTTTATTGTCGTTACTATCATGCGCGTTAGCATGTGTATTAGAAACTAAAACTTGACTATTGATGTTTTCATCCGTATCGTTATTTAAGAGCACCTTTGATGAATTTATTTTGTTTGATTTATAACGCGTATCGCTACCTTTTAACTCAATTGTTTCAAGTAGGTCAGCCTTTGATTTTAGAAAAGATTTTAGATCACTAAGTTTTGGGACATCTAACTTTGAAATATATTCTTCCCAATCCCTAATCGTTCCGGTGTCTAATTTGGATGTTACTATGTATATGATAAGAGTATCCCAATGCTCAGCAGGTTGGTTTAACTGTTTGAGAGCTTTAAGATGTTTTGATAATGTGTCTATTATATTACGTAATGTTTTAGATGATTCCTTTGAAAACGCTTGAATGTTAAATATCACTTTTATATGATTTTGAACCAGAAGTCTCGAGTTATTATATCTATCACACAAGAGATCCCAAGCTACAGCGTAATTGTTCGCAGAAAATTCCAGAGATGAAACCACCTCAGCCGCATTACCCGCTAAGGATACCTTTAAGTAGTGAAACTTCTGAATGCCAGTAAGCGATTCATTTGTGTGAATTAATGATTCAAAGGTTTCACGAAACTCTAACCACGTCTCATAGTCGCCACTGAACTTAGGCACTTGTATGGGGGGAAGTTTTACATTTGTGTGAAAGACACTGTCTCTGGCCGCTACGCTTTCGGTATCTAAATTGCTATTACTGTTTTTGTTGTATTCAAAAATCAATTTTTTGCTTTACTAATTTCGTGAAAATATTCATTCGAAAATGCTTCGCGTTCTTTATATTCTGCTTCTAAATCCGCGTCTGATACTACTTCTTCTATTTCCGCTTGAATTTCACTAAATTCGTCTATTAGTTTTCCGCATAATGTAAGTCGAGTTTCTAATTGATGAAAATCATCCGCATTTATTACGTTTTCTGTGTTTATATTTACGCATAATTCATTGATATATTTTGAAAATATTGTGAGTTTGGCCTTTACTGAACCTCTTTGTCGCTTAAGTTTTTTAATCGCCTCGTCTGACATTTTATTTATAGTTTGTCGCGTATGAATTTCTTATTTGGAATTATAAATACGTATTTATGTTATTTTTTTATGAAAACGAAGTAATTAATGTCGAAATTAAATATTTATAAGAGAATCCGCTTAATAAGTATATAGAAAAACAGATTAAATATTTTTCGTAATATTTCTGTAAAAGTGATAAAATGTTCTAAGTCTGGCAACGTCGCCTTTACTTCGCCGAGGCCCAAAGCCGCGCGCGAGGGAGCTGGAACGTACGAATGAAGTGGGCGGAGCTTTAACGTATGGACGTAAGGTCCAAAGTCACGTGTGGTTACTAATAAGAAAATAAGAACCCGTATGATTATTAATAAAACGTATGATAGATCTGATAAAACCGACTGTTATTCGTATTAAATTACATAAATCGTATTGCTTACACTGTATTTATCGCAAATCTAAGCGGCACAAGAAAGGATTTTATGGAAAAAAGGAATGACTTACCCAATATGGCCGAGCGAACAGCACCGATTCTTCTCCAGTTACACTATCGGGCTCGAAGGACCATCAATGTCGTAGATTTGACTATCTTTGTTGAACTTGTATTACGTACACCGTGTTGCTTTTTAAGAACTTTATTTCCAAATTACAAATAATATTTAACTGTATTTACAAAGGTCTTTGAGATATCGACGCAGTGCCGTTCGCTGCTGTGGGCAAAGTGTCCGATGTCTCTTCTCCTCGTCACGTACGCCGGCATGGCGCGGTTGCCGGTTTTCCTTTTGTCTTCGTTTTGATAAGATCTTCCATCGTCCTGGACAATTGGCGTTATTTCAGAAATTATTTGAAAAAAATCGAAATAAAATTGAAACTTCTAAACCCTGTATCTCCGAAACTAAGCATTTTAGGATATATATTTATGCGAACTGTTTTACTTACTTTTATCTGCAGAATATGCTGCCGAAGTTTCCTGAATACAGTTCGGACCACCCTGTATACTATTTTTTAAATATAAATGAGGTATAAAATACCTTGTTTATATTTAAAACATATAAGACTCTACAGAGCCAAATTTATCAGTGGGAATTGAACCAAAGTCTAACGACCAAGTAACCCTTCATACGCCATGTATTCAATAGCAAACTAGCCAAAATAACCAGCCTGCCGACCTACGATAATTTTCCTGCCAACTTACAATGTGTTGCTCTTGCCATTTAACGAAATGTGACGAAACGTAAATACGATTTTCTTTTTCGTTTTTCTCTGGTTCAATAGGAAGAACCGAGATTGGGCTCAAGTAAACCATATTTAAGAATATTTCTGCATGTGCAAAAAGTATAGAGTAGAGTAAAATGATCTGCAAAAACGACATAATAAAAAATACTTGTTTAGTAAAAAATCAAAAAATTGCCAATATCTGCAATATTACATTGAAATTAACCATTACCACATAAATGAGGTTAATTCGTCAATCTGTATTTATATCTTAAACTAATAAATAGAATCTAGATAAAGATCAAAAAAGGGAATAAATTAACTTATAATATATTAAAATTACAATCTGTAATACATACTTAATTTTTGGCGAAAATTTCTCATTAATATTTTATTTTAATATTTTCAACTAACCTCATAGAAAAAATATTAACTATTAACTAACTAACAAAAATTTTAACAATACATCTGCATTTTTTAACTTCAGAACATAGTCACTAATTAAATTTAGTATTCTAACAAAGTGTGCCTCAAGGCAAATGTACTGAAATTCTCACGTAGTCAGATTTTGCTTTTTCATTACTACAAACTAGAAGTCCCATATTGTATCTTTCATGATAAAAATATTGAGACTTGACTGGAGATTTTTTTGAAGAACTACTTCAATATTTGAAGAAAGGGTAGTGTTTCTAAAAACTGGCACCTAGATGTGGCCTGATTTTGTAATTTCTATATTGATGAAGAAATTTTGAGGATTTAAATCTTTTTGGGTAGTTTGGATATTTTATGGAGATATCTATGGAAAATTATGATCTATAGGAGTTATTTTTCACACAGGGTCCAGCAATAGTGCGTCGGGCATCTGTAGCTCCTATAACAAAAAAAGTTAGGAATTTTGCTTAAACTTAAAGTATGTATTAGGATGTATTTCAGAAAAATATTTCAACCTCTACAGGGTGGCTCAAAAAAGTGTGAGTGGATAAGGATGATTTTTTTTAAATGGAACACCCTATATATTATTGCATTTTTGGTTTCCTTTTTGATCACGTTACATAATCCTAAGATATTATTAAATATGTCTTAGTTTAGAACCACGGCCGGACACGATATAATTGTAAACCATATAAATAATATAGTTCTAATAATGTTTTAGGAATATCGTTACAGAAACAAAACAGTTGAGAATTAATGTATATGTTTTATTTAACAAGGGATGTTTTTATTTCAGATTGATTTGTTTCAGTGGTGATAGTTTTATAAGTTGAAATGGAGATATCAATCCAATATAATATTAAATCAATTATTTCAATCTTCCTCTCTAAGACATCTGATACTACATTTAAAAAAGCAACGATGAGATAAACCTGCTTACTTTGTTATAGATATTCACAACCAATAATCAAAATTTATAAATCAAAGAAAACATATCGATATGTTAAATGAATAATATAGTGAATGTCGCCAATTATTATTTCTAAGTCATCTCCGACGCCGTTTTATTTTGATTGCATAGTACTAGTCCTTTTTTACAGTCTAGGAAGCACAGAAGGGGTTGTTGGCTTTATGTGCGTATAAAAAGAGGAAATTTAATAAAGTAGCGTACATGTAGGTTTTCCAGAGACTGACCTCTCAAGTTTCACAGTCGATACTAGCTCCCCTGGTCTGTTTTCTTTCAGTTCTAGAGTGAAGTTCGACAGTTTTACAAGTGCAAATCTATATTTATAACCGCTAAAAAATAGCTTTATTTATAAGTCGTGATTCGCGTTTATTGGAAGTCGTAAAATATTCGTAATCATGAAGCTACGACAGAGTAAGTTATGAAAAAAAAGTTAGTTACCTAGACTTTGATGGTAGATTTGTGGGAAGATATTATTAACTAAAGCAAGATAAATCAAGCGGTAAATATATATTTTATGTGTAGACACTGCATTTAGAATCCAAGGATACACATTTTCAGCGATTCTATTTATTTAGTTCTTATATATGACATTTATCAAACTAAAAGTATAAACCATAAATAAATGTATTTATTACAGGACATGTAAAAGTTAAGTTTATTTCTGATTTATTGCTTTTATCTTAGGATCGGCAAAAAAAAGTTTTTTTAATTTCACTCAAAATGAGATATTTGGGTCATAAATGACCTAAATACAAAATATTTTCGTTGTGTCTGTCTGTCTGTCCGTCTGTCCGTCTGTAACACGATAACTCAAAAACCGCTGAACCGATTTTAACCATATTTGGCACAAACATACTGTGGCACCCGAGAATCTGGCCATTTGTTTTTGGTGGGGGTGGGCGGTTGGTAAGAAGGTATAGGGGAGGGTTAAAAATTAAAAAAAATTGTAACTCCAAAATTACAGTAGCTAGCGAAACGCGGTTTTCAAATTAAGATTAGGAATAATATTTGCAACAAAATTTGTAATAACATCAAAATCAGTCAAAGTCGCAGTTTTCGAGATATTAACATATTTTAGTATGGGCGGCTATACGTGCCTCCCGGCGCCAATTTTTTTTATATATTGTTTTAATTATTAAAAAAGGTGTATCTATTAAAACAAGTTTTTAATTTACTTCTAATTCAGTTGATTAATATACCAATTTTAACTGAGAGAACACTCAGGTTCATAATTTACGATATACCGGGTGCGTCTTAAAAGTGGCTCACTCATCTAACTTTTTTATTTTTTCAGTTAAAAAAACGAGTTTTGGTATGTTAGTATATGATATAAATTAGGATTGATTGACGTATTCAATTATTGCTTTCGGTCACTTCCTGTTTCGTCGGAAATAACTGCCACTTTTGATTTTTAAATGGCAGCCTCGGTATTTTTTACTTTATTCGATAGAAAATAACGCTCTCAATAGAATGATATATCATATATCAACTTTTGACATTTTCGCATATGGTTTATTTGAATTTATAACTTGCGGTTCGTAACGAAAATTTGACTCGAAATACCAAGTGTGTACTATCAAATTATTCGTAAAAAATGCTTTTTCCAAATATGCTAATGAGTCACCCTCGTTTCGTTTGAAAAAATTGAGATATGATTAAAAAAAAATACGATTTGAGCATTTTCTAACTGGCCAGGACAAGATACTAAAAACATTAGACGATCAAATCTATTTTTTCAAGGCTCCTTGATTAAGAATTTATGTTTTTAACATAGCCATGGCACTCTAGATTGAATTTTAAAATACGATTTTTTAATAAGCGAGAATGTCAAAAGTTGACATATGATATGTCATTCTATTCAGAATGTTATTTTCTATCGAATAAAGTAGAAAAATTCCGAGGGTGCTATTTAAAAATCAAAAGTTGTAGTCATTTCCGGTGAAACAGGAAGTGACCAAAAACAGTGGAATACATCAATCAATCCTAATTTATGTCATATACTAACATACCAAATCTCGTGTTTTTGTCTGAAAAAATAAAAGTTATAAGTGTTGGCCACTTTTGAGACGCACCCGGTACTTATTAAATGATAAAATTTACCATTATTCTTTAATTTAATATGTATAATACTTACTTAATATAAATTATTAGGTGGTATTGTTTGTCTTTTATTATTAGAATTAAAACCCTATCTTTAATTTCAATGCATTTTAAATTTTTTAATAAAAAAAAAGAGAATAAATATAGAAGTATTTGTTGTAGTTTATATAGGGCGAGTCTCAAATAAGTATTTGGGGTCGCACCACTCTGGCACTTTGTGCCATTGTATCGGTTTTTTAATCGCGGTGCGATCCCTTTAGACACACATTTATTAATACTAATATTATTCTGTAAAACTTAATGGGGTCTAATAAAGAAATTTGAATTTGAATTTTAATTTGAAATAAGTGCAAATATTTTCAGGGCTGGTAGATCTCGATAAAAGAAATATATTTTTTCTATTTGCCGTTTTTCAAGTAAGTATACATTTAAGTATACAAAAGTAAGTAAAATTGCTGAGATATTTTACTTTCATCAACCAGCCACTAAAGTCAACTGCTGAACGTAGGTTTCCCTCGTTTGTTTCCATAACTCCCTATCTTGAGCTATTTGCATCCAGTTACTGTGGATACGCCTTAAATCGTCATGCCATCTGGTTGGAGGATGGCCTCTGCTCCCGAATGCATCATGTCTTGGTCTCCATTCTATTATTTTCTTCGTGCATCGTGCCCTGCCCAATTCCATTTCAAAGTACTTATTTTCTCTATGGCATCCTTATTCGATAGTTTGTCTCTCAGAGATAGCCCCAACATTGATCTCCTTTGGAAAGGTCAATTTTACTTAGAATCTTTAAAAAAATATTTTTTGCCTCAGTTATAGGTACCAATGGATTTTTCCTGTACTTTAGTTCTTCTTCTAAATTTAATCTACCGCCTTGTTACCATATTATCAAGATATTATGTTTTATAACTGAAAATTTAATAAATTCTAAAAAAAATAGGAAAAATACTAATTTCAATTTTTTTTCACGAAAAATCCCTTATAAACGTGTTCCTGGGCTCAAAATATACCACTTCCATAAACATATTTGCACTTATTTAAGACTCGCCCTGTATATATGTTTTAAAATTTTATTTTTCATTTTTTCACCGAGAAATCTGCTTATCTGAATTTTAGTTCCAGTAGCATTTTAATAAAATAAATCGGAAAATATTGCAAAAAGAGTTCACGTGATTGCTTTTTTTCAAAATTGCAAATCAGTTTTCAGTATATTTGTTTCTAAATTTGCGATTTCTTACATTGTTAATATTTGGTTATATTATAGAGTGAATCAAAATTACAATATGAACTTTTATTTTCAAATTAGTTTATTTTTTTCAATATTAACGTGTTGATTTTGGTGTAGTAGTAATAATTGCCATTGATCAAATTGCGTCGTATCGAATTAATATATGGATATATCATATACAGGGTATTCCATACACAACTACTCATTACACCTTAAATAATTGATTACTATATGATTTTTTTGAAAAATACATTTAAAAACTCGTATTTCACACATAATTCTCTAAGAAACATTCTATTCTTAGAATAAATTGCCTAAGATGAATGTTAAATCTTTATAAACACCAACGCGTTTTATCATTCGGCTACAAAAGAATATTTTATTATTTTTTACATACTGTTCTTTAACAAATGACTGTATTATTATTTAAATGGTTTATAATAAACACGCCTCAAACACGACTTTTATTAAACTATTTTTCACCGCGAGGTCATCCGAATAACCTAACATGGATGCAGGTAGATAAAGAAAATAGAATAAATAATTTCTAAAAATATATATTATATCATTCAATCATATTTTTTTTAAATTATATATCATATTTTTTAAATTATATTACTGTAATTTAAGAATATTGTACGTACGATTCAAAATTCTATTTGTTATCAAAGGAATTGGATAAATTAGGAAATGCACTGTGCTTTTAAAATATTTTTACACTAAATTTTTGCGATTTTATTTTACTTAGTTGTATTGACATAGTTTAGTTAGTTTAGTTTACATAAAAAATGAGACATCGTGTAAAATGTACTGACCTTTGGTAGCTTCGATAAATCAGATTTTTGTTTATGATATTGAAGATATTTAAATTCTCTTGTAGGATGTTTATAATTGCCGAAGAAAATATTTTCAGTAAATATTCATGAATATTATTACAAATCTAGGTTCTAATAATTTTGTAATGAATAATCCACACTGTGCATGTTTTAACTTTTCTTTGAATTAGAAAATTACTCATATAATTAAAATATGTCGAATGTCAAAATGATTTCATTATTAATCACACAAGAATAGGCATTTGTTATAAGAAAATTAGATGTTTGCCAGAATTGTGTGCACTTGTGTAAAATTAAAACCAAACAACACCAAACCATTTTACAGATTGAAAATTTGAGATAGAAAGAGAATGAAATAGGTACATAATATCAAATAAATGTAATTTTTGCTAAAAATTGTTGCTCTTCTAAATATTACTATAGTAAAAACTATATTATGTTTAACCATAAGTTTGTTGTGTTACAATAACCACAGTCCTAATTGGCTGGCAGTCCAGAAAAAAATTGTCTGTGCAGTATGTGCGCATACCTTAAGTGAAACTTCTTACTACCAGCTATCAAATTGAAGGAGCAATAAAAAGGATTGGAAAAGAGAAACGTCTGCTCAGTAGTTAAAAGACCATACCATAACTTGGTATACTGATGCTTCCAAAACCAATGCGGGAACAGGGATCGGAGTGTTTGAGCCGAGAACTAAATACTCCGAACCAATGGGCACCTACCCTAGCATTCTACAGGCAGAAACGCTATCGAAAGATGCGTACAACAACTTATCGCAGATAGGAACTATCGGAAACAAGAAATACCCGTCTTATCTGATAGTCAAGTAGCGTTAAAAGCGATCAACTCAGTATCAATCAATTCGAAATTGGTCAAAGAATACATAGAGAAGCTGAATAAATTAAGCAAAGAAATCAAAGTCCTCTTACTCTGGGTGCCTGCTCACCAAGGGATAGAAGGCAATAGAAAAAGCAAATAATCTAGCTAGAAAGGGAGCGAACACTCTACTAACTGGATCAGAACCGTTCTGCTTCCAAGTGGTAACCAACTAAAGGCGGAACTCAAGTACTTGGAAGACTCCATCCCCCACCTGGAATGAAATCTTGCAACGGTCTAAGACACTCGAAAAAGTTTCTGAGGTCTTACGACCAAGAAAAATCAAAGATTTTTCTGGATTTAAGTAAGAACAATCTTCGGATTGTCACGGGGTTTTTAACAGGACACTGTCCCCTCAATGAACACCTCAG